TAGGTTCTCACCTCACTGATTGTTTCTTTTGCTGAGAAGAAACTTTTTATTTTGATTCCATCCCATTTATTGATTCTTGAGTCTTATTAAGGAAATTGGGGCCTAATCCCACATGATGAAGATTTGTGCCTACTTTTTCTTCTAATAGATGCAGTGTCTCTGGTTTAATTCCTAGGTCCTTGATCCACTTTGAGTTGAGTTTTGTATATGGTAAGAGATAGGGGTTTAATTTCATTTGGTTGCATATGGATTTCCAATTTTCCTAGCACCATTTATTGAAGAGGCTATCTTTTCTCCAATGTACATTTTTGGTGCCTTTGTCAAATATAAGATAACTAATTATGTGATAAGATAACTAAATATAAGATGTAATTACGTGGGTTAGTCTTTGTGTCCTCTCTTCTGTACCATTGGTCTACAAATCTATTTTGGTGCCAATACCATGCTGGTTTTGTTACTGTTGCTCTGTTGTATAGTTTAAGGTCTGGTATAGTGATGTCACCTGCTTCACTCTTCTTGCTAAGGGTTGCTTTAGCTCTTCTGGGTCTTTTATTTTTCCAGATGAATTTCATGACTGCTTTGTCTATTTCTATGAGGAATGTCATTGGGATTTTGATTGGACTTGCATTAAATCTGTATAATGCTTTTGGTAGTATGATCATTTTGACAATATTAATTCTGCCTATCCAAGCCAAGGGAGATATTTCCATTTTCTAAGGTTTTCTTCAGTTTCTTTCTTTAGTGTTCTGTAGTTTTCATTGTAGAGGTCTTTCACCTCTTTTGTTAAGTTGATTCCCAAGGTTTTTTTTTTTGTTGTTGTTGTTTTTTGTTGTTGTTGTTATGTTTTGTTTTGAGGCTAATATGAATGAGGTAGTTTTCCTAAGATTTCACTCATGCCAGTCAAAACAGCAGGTATCAAAAATACAGACAACAATAAATGTTGGTGAGAGTATGGGGGAAAAGGCACTCTCATACATTGCTGGTGGGACTGTAAATTGGTACAACCAATCTGGAAAACAGTTACATTGCCGGTGGGACTGCAACTTGGTACAACCAATTGGAAAGCAGTATGGAGATTCCTTAGAAAACTTGGAATGGAACCACCATTTTACCCAGCTATCCCATTTCTAGTCTGTATCCAAAGGACTTAAAATCAGCACACTATAGTAACGCAGCAACATTAATGTTCATAGCATCTCAGTTCACAATAGCTGAACTGTGGAAGCAACCTAGATGTCCTTCAGTAGATGAATGGATAAAGAAACTGTGGTGTATATACACAATGGAATATTATTCAGCATTAAAAGAGAATAAGATCATGGCATTTGCAGATAAATGGATGGAGTTGGAGAATATCATGCTAAACGAAGTAAGCCAATCCCAGAAAATCAATGGCTTAATGTTCTCTCTGATAAGTGGGTGCTGATCCAAAACGGGGAGGAGGGAGGCATGGCAATAATGGAGGAACTGTGATTGGGCAACAGGGAGGGAGAGTATGGAGAGTGCATGGGGACAGGAAAGATGGTGGAATGAGATGGATGTCATTACCCTAGGTACATGTATGACTGTGATATGGTGTGATGCTGCATCGTGTACAACCATAGAAATGTAAAGTTGTGCTTCATTTGTGTACAATGAATCAAAATGCATTCTGCTCTCATATATACCTAGTTAGAATAAACAAATAAATTAAAAAAAAAAAAATAGTCTTAGACTTTTCTCAAGGACTACCTTGCTTATATTTTTATAAGTGTATAGGCGTGATTTTTAACATAATGTATATGTGACAGGTCTTTGTTAGATTTTTTTTTTTTTTTTTGTGTGTGTGTGTGTGTGTGTGTGTATGTGTGCTGCCTTTTACAGGCATTCATTTACCAAGCACAAGACAGATATTTTTCCCTCTCCATCCACTGTTAATTTTAGGCTGTTTTATTCCAAACAACTTAGCTCTACTTAACCTTAATAGCCAGAGGAGAGGACATAAAGAATGTTCCTCGGGCTGGGGCTGTAGCTCAGTGGCAGAGCACCTGCCTTGCACGTGTGAGGCATTGGGTTCGATCCTCAGCACCACATAAAAATAAACAAATAAAATAAGGCATGCTGTCTACCTATAACTACAAAAATTAAAAAAAAAAGAATGTTCCTGATACAAGTTGCAGGGAAGAATGTTCTATATATTTTCAGCTCTTGCTTCTTTTCCCTTGTATATGGCATACACACAGATCTCTGACTTTTACCTTTTTTTTTTGACTTTTACTAATTTTATAAAAATTAATTCTTTTTACTTATACATGATACTAGAATGTATTTTGACATATTATACATATATGGAGTACAACTTCTCTTTCTTCTAGTTGTACATGATGTAGAATTACATTGCTTGTGTAATCACATATGCACATAAGTTAGTAATATCTGATTCATTCTACTATCTTTCCTATTCCCTTTCCTCCTCCCTTCCCTTCATTCCCCTTTGTCTAATCCAAAGTACTTCTATCCTCTCCTAATCCCCTTCTTATTGTGAATTAGCATCCACATATCGGAAAAAATGTTCAGCCTTTGGTTTTGGGGGAATTGGCTTATTTCACTTAGCATGATATTCTCCAGTTCCATCCATTTACTAGCAAATACCATAATTTATTCTTATTTATGGATGAGTAATACTCCATGTATATAGACACCATATTTTCTTTATCCATTCATCTGTTGAAGGGCACCTACGTTGGTCCATAGTTTAGCTATTATGAATTGAGCTGCTGTAAACATTGATGTGTCTGTGTTGCTGTAGTATGTTGATTTTAAGTCCTATGGGTAGAAACTGAGGAGTGGGATAGCTGGGTCAAATGGTGGTTCCATTCCAAGTTGTCTGAGGATTTATGTGTGTTGATTTTATATCCTGCTACTTTGCTGATTCATTTATGTATTCTAGAAGTTTTCTGGTGGAATTTTCTGGGTCTTCTAAATATAGAATCATGTCATCAGCAAATGGTGATAGTTTGAGTTCTTCTTTTCCTATTCGTATCCCTTTAATTTCTTTCTTCTGTCTGACTTTATCTTGAAGTTAGCTTTCCACTCTGCCAAAATTATTTTTGCCAAGGAGGCCAGTGATTTCAGTATTGTCAAATCCAATGGAAATTTCTGTCTTCATCTTAACTTCACCTTTCCTTAGCATTTGGCTGTGGATCACTCTCTTCTTGAAAAGACTTTCCTTTTGTGGTGGTTCATATGTTAGTCTTCCATTTTACTGACGATGCTTCATAGTTTGTTTTTGTTTGTTTGTTTGGTTGGTTTTGGTGGGCTCCTCCTCTATCCAAATATCAAAGTTTTGAACTGTGAGCTTTTTTGTTTTCTTTATGCCTAAGTGACTCACCCATAATTTAACACAGAATCCATATCTGTATATTCTGATGTCTGAGATTTATGTTTCTAGTCCATACTTCTCTTTTGAGTCGCCAAACTCCAAACACATGTATCTACTAGTCTTCTTGCCCCACCCCATCCTTTTCCAGAGATTGAACCCAGGGGCACTTTACCACTAAGGGACATCTCATCCTTTTTAATATCTTTTAATTTTAAGACAGGGCCTCACCAAGTTGTTAAGGGCCTTGCTAAATTGCTAAGGCTGACCTCAAACTTAAATCTTCCTGCCTCAGCCTCCCAAGTTGCTGGAATTACATGTGTGCACCCTGGCTTGACTTCTCTTTTGTAATATTTCAAACTTAACATATGCAAAGTGGAATTTGGTTCCTTTCCTTGTTGTACCTCCAGTGGGTTTTCTACAACAGTCCTCATTTTTTTTTTTCTGTTGTTTAAGCGAGAAACCCTTGTTCATCTCTTTCACCACTGTTGTTGAACTTCTTTCCAAAAATTGCCTTGAGGATTGGTCTACTGTCTCCATTTTTATTGCCATGAAACTAGTCCATGCTATTGTCAGTTCTTGCTTGAATTGCTATACTTCTCTCCTAACTGGTCTTTAGGCTTCTCCTTTTCATTAAATTCATTTTCTGTATAGTGTAAAGGTGTAAATGTAAATAGAAATATGTTCTTAAAATATGATTGTGACTTCTCTTTGCATATAGCAGTTCCTTATCTTGATCTCATTTTCCTCTGTCTTCTTTACTTCTTGTGCCTGCTTACCTTTCGTCTGCTCACAACTCTTAAGCCCTGGGTCTTTTTTTATGTTCTTTGAGCCTGTTTTTTCCCCCACCTGATTCTACCCAGAATACTCTTCCCCTTCTCTCTGTGGGGCTAGTTATCACTTAGGCCTTATCTTAAATACCATCTCCTTCTCAGGCCACTAAATACTGCTGCTGCTTTGAAATTTCAGTTGTTTGTTTCTTTCATAATACATACCAGTTTGGATTTATTTTATGCCTTTTTCCCTTTTATTTGGTCCATCTTCCCCGTTTGAGGGCAGAGACTTCATTTCTCTTGTTCACTTTTGGATACCCAGCACACAGTTGGCAGTTAACAAATATTTGTTGAATGAATAAATGAAAAGTGTGAATATTGCCATGTTCAGTTTTACGAATTTATATTTTTTTCTTTTTGAGTGTTTTAGCACATCTAGTTTTATAAATCCAGAGATCTTATGTAAGGAAATTCAGGACTAATCTAAATAAGAATTTTTAGTAATAGAGATTCAAATAGCAGACAAACCTCTGTAATCCCAGCAACTCAGGAGGCTGAGGTGGAAGGATCACAGGTTCAAAGCCAGCTTCAGCAACTTATTGAAAATCTCAGCAACTGAGTAAGACCCTGTTTCAAAATAAAATATAATAAGGTCTGGAATATGATCAACAGTGAATGCCCAGTAAAAATAAAATAGCAGACTGAAGATAATAAATAGCAATAATGTCCCCAGTTCAGATTCTAATTTTCACCTCAGATTTTGATGACGGTCAAACCCTAGATATGAATTCAATAAGTTGATGATTTTATATCAAATTTACTAGGAATTTAGGAAGCAAGAAAACAAATTTTTTGCATGTTTGTTTCAGATATGATCATTCTGTTTCAAATGACAAAGCCCTAATGGTGCTAACTGAAGAGCCACTACTTTATATTCCTCCTCCTCCTTGTCAACCCCTGATTAACACAACAGAATCTCTCAGGTAAGTATTATAAGTTGTTGTAAAATAAATAAGTGGGCTCCCATGATTAGCTTTGGAACCTAGGAAAGTCTTTGTTCAGATTTGCTGAGTGGTTGAATCCCTAAATTATTTGTTGGATAGCCACAGGTGTATCAGTTGCTATGCAGTTGCCCTACTAGTCTAAGATAGATGATTATGGGTCTATTTAATATAATGGTTGCATATTGCAATATGTCTTATTTGAAAACTACAGAATTAAATTAATTAAAATTCCAGGGTAAGTGCTAACTGGGTGGTGACTTTTATAGCAGAAGGTACCTTTTTCTTCAAATTAGGAAGACAATAATTTGAGGTTATGTGGTTCTAGAGACACTTTCCCATTATTGCACCCTTCTTGTATCGCCTTTTCTCTCAAATTTTTTTCCTGATTTTGGACATATCCTTGAGCCTTAAAAACTGCCTCCTTTTTTAAATGTTAAATAGTACTCAGCTATAGTTAAATAAGGATAGTCTAACATATTTGCAACTTCTGTAGAAAGTAAGCAAAATAAAGGGAAGTTTTATTGAATTGATCTTTTAAATTTCTACTATTGAAAAAATTTATTCCCCCCCCAGGTAGTTAGGTTCATCATTTTCCTTCTCTCCAAAGGCATGATTTTCAAAGGCCTTAATATATTCTTTTGCGATAGGAGTCCTATGGATTGTTTTCTCCAGTGTCTCAGATATTTGTATATCACACAGCCCAAGAGAAAAAAAAAAAAAACACTTTGCATTCAATATTTATATTTGGCAAATACTTAGCTATGGTTTTCTTTAAATTTTGAATTTTTGATGGAGGAACCTACCATATAAAAATGCATATCTTACTAAATATTCAGTTAAGAATCTTAGTTATTCAAATCAAAGAGAAATACTAAGTAATTAGGGACTTGGAATACTCTTTGGAACCTACAGAATGATTAAATTCATTTCTCACCAGGAGATAAGAATTTTATTTCTGAGAAATATGTTTAATTGATTATCTGTTTTATAGATTAAATCATGAACTTCGAGGTTGGGTTCATAGACATGAAGTGGAAAGGACCAAGTCAAGAAGAATGACAAACAATCAACAGAAAACTCGTGTTCTTCAGGTTTGTTTCTACTTGTCTTGGAATAGTGATTGCTAATCATTGGAAGCTCTCTCCCTACCCCGCCACAGAGGTGGTATCTCTCCTGGAAGATTTGGCAAGCTTAAGCTTTACCTACTTCTCATAGCTGCTTCTGGTGCAGCTTCATTGCCACCACTGTTCTTAGCCCAGGTTTTGTGGCACTTGGTTTAAGTTTTATAATACTCATTTCCTGTGTTCAGGCATGATGCGCTTTCCTGCTCTCTTCTTCAAATTTGCTTCCGTCCAGGAGTTACTGTGCATGGATATCTTATCAAATATTTTTGGCACCACTGGTATAATAAACAACACTATTTGTTTCCTTACTTCTGAGAGCTCTTCAGAAATAGGGTATTAAAACATGGGACACATCAATGGAGGACATTTTTGAACTTAGACAAGTGCCACTACTGGGTTTAATGACAGTGCTTACTCAGCTATTCAGTAAAGCTTCTATCTTAATCTTGTTTGTCACAAAGCACCATTTACAATCATTCATCATTCATCAGATATATGTTGCTACTTCTGAAGTGCTTAGACTAGCAACTGCACAGTGTGAGTACCCAATAAACATCTGTGGTGGTGATAATGAGCCAGGAACTGTTCCAGACCCTGGGAATATAGTAGCGAGTATAATAAAGTCTCTCCCCTTCTAGTGGGAGAACTAAACAATAAACAAATAAATGCACAGGTACCTCAAACTTAAGATAAATTCTCTAAAAAGTAAAGCGGGATAGAAGGTTAGAATTTGAATTGAGAAATGAGAAGCTATTTTAGATTGAGTGGTGAGAAAAGGCTTCTCTGAAAAAGTTTCAATTTAACAAGGTATTGTCAAGATAATTAATGCTGGCTGTTAGAATGACCTTAAAATCTCCCTAGCTTAATAGAATAAAAACTTGATTCTTACAATGTCTAACATAGTTCTCTAAAATGGCTTTTCTCCAAATAGTGTCTTAGGGATCCATATACCTTCTATTGTGTAGCTCCGACAACTTGATAACTTGAAATCTTTGTTTCTAGTTTTAAATGGTGGGAAGAGAGCTTGGAAGATAATACAAATGGTTTTAGGGATCAGGCCTGGACTTTAGCCACTGTTTAGTCGGCTAAAATTGTCATTTTGCCTAATTGACTATAAGAGAGACTGGGAATATGTAGCCTTCCTGAGTGCTCAGGAAGAAGAAAAAGTTGTAATGACAACATTGTTTTTTACTATGTAGACAGAAAATGTTAGAGTAAACAATGTAAAGATTTAGGGAAAATCTGGTGAAAGATCTTCTAGAGAAACAGCAAATGTAAAGATCTTTAAGAAGGAACAGTTTACTTCTGTAGGCAACATCAAGAAGTTGAGTAAGGTTGGAATGCATTGACTGAGGGAAGATGGTAGATGATATTAGAGAGACTTGCAGAGGTGAAATAATACGCAGTTTCATAGGCTGTGGTGAGAATGTTGGATTTCATCCATGGCATGAGGAAACACCATTGAAAGACTTGATTAGGGCAGTGACTTGACCTGATTTTTATGTGTGAATGTGTGTATGGCAGGGTGAGGAGAGGGTTAGGGATTGAATCCAGGGCCTCTCACATATTAGGCAAGTGCTCTACCACTGAGCTACATCCACAGCTCCTGGTTTATATGTATTTTTAAAGTTTTATTTGTCCTTTTTAGTTGTACAAGTATATTTTGACATATTTATACAAACATTGAGTTTGTTTTATTCTAATTAGGAGCCCAGTCTTATGGTTGTACATGCTGTGGGTATTCATTGTGGTGTGTTCATATATATATACATAGGAAAGTTGTATCAGATTCATTCATTCCACTGTTTTTCCTATTTCTATCTCTCTTCTTTTCATTCCCTTTTGTCTAATCCACTGAACTTCCATTCTCCCCTCACCCCCTCTTTATGTATGTTAGCATCCATATATCAGAGAAAACATTCAACCTTTGGTTTTTTTGAGATTGGTTTATTTCACTTAGCATGATAGTCTCCAGATTCATCAGTTTACTGGCAAATGTCATAAAGTCATCATTTTTTATGGCTGAGTAATATTCCATCACACACATACACACACACACACACACACACACACACACACACACACACACCACATTTTTAAAAAATCCATCCATCTGTTGAAGGCACCTAGGTTGGTTCCGTAACTTAGCCTATTGTGAATTGAGCTGCTGTAAACATTGATGTGGCTGCATCACTGTAGTATGCTGATTTTAAGTCCTTTGGGTATAAATTGAGGAGTGGGATAGCTGAGTCAAATCATGATTCTGAGGAATCTCCATACTGCTTTCTATAGTGGTTGCACCAATTTGCAGTCTCTGGTGGGGAATGCAATGTATGGTGTACCCTTTTCTCCACATCCTTGCCAACATTTATTGTTACTTGTATTCTTGAAAATTGCCATTCCGACTGGAATGAGATGAAAATGGTGTCGTTTGCATTTCTTTAATTTCTAGAGATATTGAACTTTTTTTCACATTTATTGACTGACTGATCATATTTCTTCTCTGTGAAGTGTCTGTTCAGTTTGTTTGCCCATTTATTGATTGGGTTACTTGGTTTTTGAGTTCTTTAAATATCCTCTAGGTGCAGGTTGCAAAGATTTTCTCCCATTCTGTAGACTCTCTCTTCATGTTCTTGATTGTTTTCTTCATTGTGAAGAAGTTTTTTAGTTTGATTCCATACCCTTTATTGATTCTTAATTTTACTTTTTGTGCTTTAGGAGTCTTATTGAGGAATTCAGTTCCTAAGCCAAATGATGGAGTTTTAGACTGACATTTTCTTCTAGTAGGATAGGGTTTCTGGTTAAATGTATAAGTCTTTGATCCACTTTGAGTTGAGTTTTGTGCAGGGTGAAAGATAGAGGTTAAATTTCATTCTGTAACACATGGATTCCATTTTTCCCAGCACCATTTGTTAAAGAGGCCATCTTTTCTCCAATGTATGTTTATGGTGCCTTTGTCTAATAAGAGATAATTATATTTATGTGGGTTTATCTCTGACTGATAATATTCTTCCATTCTATTCCATTGGTCTTGTCTGTTTTGCTATTACTATAGCTCTATTATATAAATTAAGATCTAGTACGGTGAGCCTCATCTTTCGCTTTTCTCACTAAAGATTGCTTTCGCTATTCTGGGCCTCTGATTTTTCTAAATGAATTTAATGACTGCTCTTTCTATTTTTATGAAGAATGTTATAGGGATTTTAATAGGAATTGCATTAAATCTGTATAGCGCTTTTGATAGTATGATCATTTTGACAATATTAATTCTGCCTATCCGACAACATGAGAGATCTTTCTATCTTCTAAGGTCTTTTTCAATTTCTTTCTTTAGTGTTATGTAGTTTTCATTGTAGTGGTCTTTCACCTCTTTTGTAAGATTGAATCCCACGTTTTTTTGGTTTTGTTTTGGCTTGGTTGTTTTTGAGGCTAATGTGAATGGGATAGTTTTCCTAAATTTTCTTTCCAATGATTCAGCATTAGTGTATCTCGCCCACGTCCTGCGCCCGTGGTGGAATTTAGGTCTCCTCTACATGAAGTGGGCTGGACGTGAAATTAAGCTAAGAAAAAAAGGTAGAAAAGAAATACACTAGAGAAAGTAATTGTGAAAAGGGAGGGTAGGACGCTCTTCAACCTTAGAGGTCGAGCTTCCACACTGGAAAGAGTGAGAGCCTGCAGTTGCTTTGTTATATGGGGGAACCTTCAAAGGTTTTCCATAGAGTGTTTTTATGCCAAATAAGGCAGGAGGTGGGTTGTCCAGCTCCCAGTGGGTTATGCCCAACTCCAGAGCTACAAGATCTGTCTCCCTAGGGGAGCAAAGACAGAGGTCAGTGTTTTGCACAATCCATTAAGTGGGAGGAGCCACAAAATCGCTTGCAATGATAAATCAAAATCTCCTTGGCTCAAGGCCTAGTGAAGATGTTCAAATAGCTCAGGGGTGGTTCCCCTCAGATGTATAGGAACACAGTTGATTACGTTTGTTCATTTTATATCCTGCTACTTTGCTGAATTCCTGTACGAGTTCTAGCAGTTTTCTGGTGGAATTTTTTGAGTCTTCTAAATATAGAACCATGTTCTCGGCTGACAGGAATGTTTGAGCTCTTCTTTTCCTATTCATATCCTTTTAATTTCTTTCTTTTGCCTAATTGCTTTGGCTAGAGTTTCAAGGATTATTTTGAATAGGAGTGGTGAAAGAGGGCATCCCTGTCTTATTCCAGTTTTAGAGGAAAAGCTTTCAGTTTTTCTCCATTTAGAATGATATTGCCCTTTAGTTTAATGTATATAGCTTTTACAATGTTAAGGTATATTCTTATTATCCCTAGTTTTTCTAGTGTTTTGAATATCAATGGATACTGTGTTTTGTCAAATGCTTTTTCTGCATCTATGAGATAATCATGTGATTAGTGTCCTTAAATCTGTTTATATGTTGAATTACATTTATTGATTTCCATATGTTGAACTAACCTTGTATCCCTGGGATGAAACTCACTCAATCATGGTGTGGTATCTTTTTAATATGTTTTGTATGAGATTTGCCAGTATTTTATTAAGAATTTTTGCATCTGTATTCATCAAGGATATTGGTCTGAAGTTTTCTTTTCTTGATGTGTCTTTGGTTTTGGTATAGGATGATACTAGCCTCAAGAATGAGTTTGGAAGGGTTCCCTTCTTTTCTAGTTCATGGAATAATTTGAGGAGAATTGGTGTTATTTCTTTTTTGAAAGTCTGGTAGAACTCAGCTGAGAATTCATTCAGTCCTGGGCTTTTCTTTGTTGGTAGGCTTTTGATGGCATATTCAATTTCATTGCTTGGAATTCATCATTTCTGTGCCCTCCTGATTCAATTTGGGGAGGTCATATGTCTTTAGAAATTTGTCCTAACTTATATTTTTAAAAGATCATTCCAGCTGCTACACAAAGTAGACCATGATGTGGTGGCATGAATGGAAATAGGGAGGCCAGTTAAGATGCTATTTTAGTAGTCTAGGTAAGAGATCTGTGGAGCCTGTACTTGTGGGGTAGATGTGGAGCTAAAGGAAAGCACTTGGATGTCAAATATATTTTGAAATTAGAGCTGTTAGAAATTGTTGCTGTAAAATAAAAAGGAATTAATGGAAATTCCTACGTGTTAAGTACTAGTTGAACAGAGATGCCATTATTGATAACAAGATTGGGGAAAGAGGAACTGGAGACAGGAGTGTAAGAAACTAAAAAGGAAAAAAAGAGAGAGTGAGGCATTGAGCCCTGGGCCAACACCAACATTAGAGGCTGAAAGAGAAAGAAGAACTAGCAATTGAGAAGATGAGTGACTGACCAATAAGATAGGAGAAAATGCAGGATTGTGGTACCCCAAACCCCAAGCAAAGAGTGTCTTAAGAAGAGATATATGATTAATCATCACAGAGGTCAAGAAATGTTAAGATGATGACTAAGAAATTATCATTAAAATCAACCATTAAAACTTGATTGATGAAAGTTGTTTCATTATAGTTGTGATGATAAAGGCCTTACTTCGAGGCCTTTGTGGGAAATGATACGATATGAGAAAATGGAAAAGAGTATTTTAGGATTATCTCCATAAGTGTGAATAGAGAAATAGAGTAGCTACAGGAATCAAGAAAGAGGGTTTATTTTTAGATGGAAGATATGACACCAGGTTTGCATATTTATAGGCTAATGGAAACATCTTAACTATTTGATTTTTTTGGAGACTTAACTGTAAGCAGCATGTGATTTGTTCAAAAGCATATTAAAATTATATTGAGACATAGATTTTTGCCATTATAGAACTGTTTTCATCAATAATGTGAGCATTCATGTTGGTGAACTCAAACTCTGACTTTCTGAGATTCTATGATTATCAAGTATGTGCTTAGATGATCTATTATCTAGTATGTGCATAGATAATCTATTATGATTCTACTATGTGCTTCTCTGGCCCTCTCCAATAACTTTTTTTCTCCTACTATGGCAATTGTATTGGTTGTTAGTACTTTTAGAGGCTACGGGGCGATCAGTATATGCCGTGAGTACCTCATAGCCCCCATCCTGCTTACTGGCATTAGACTGCAGAGTTTGGTACTGCAAAACTCTTGTCTGCTAAGTCTTACACATCAGCTGCTATCATGGCTAGAGAAAAAATGAATTTTATTTTGCTTTCTAAGTCTGGAACAAGGCACATTTTATTGTCAGAACCTAAGTTATATCCAGAACCCTGCTGACAAAAGAGTTTAGGTAATGTGGTTTTTAGACTTCCATCTTTTGCAATACAGGGGAAGGCAAAAATAGGTAATTGCAATAGATAATCCCACATAGCTGCTATAGTGTTCTGTATGAAAAATTAGATTCAAATTCTTGGCCTTAATGAGGGTTTTTTGTTTGTTTTGTTTTGTCTTATCTTTAGATACAATTTGTCATATTATCCTGTTCATTAGATTAAAAAATAACGTATTTACTGTGGAAGGGTTTTTTCTTTAATCTTAAAGGAATTCCAACACAAGAAAAATAATTTTATTTTAGTTTTATAGTCTTTGTTCATTTAGAGAAGATTTGTAACTTAAAGTCTTGTCTCTTTCTCTATTTTGGGTGCATATCTTACTGTAGGGGGCTTAGATCATGGTCAGAATTGTAGGAATCTTAGGTATTACCAAAAAAGGAATGGCAAGAATGAATCTATATTTATCCAAGCAAAAGAAGTTCTCCATTAGAGGAAGAGAAAGATCATTCTGCTTGTACTGTTGTCAATTCTAAAACATGTAAAAATTCCTTTGATTCTCTTCCATAGGGTAGAGAGCCTGAAATTGCTCTTCTTTTATCTTCTTTTTTTATTTCAACTTTCTTTTTCCTCCATATTACCTCTTTCAAATGCCACAAGGAGTCAAAAGTCTTATAAAATATTTTGCAACTCTGGCAAATTGACATTTATTTGAAATTTCTGTTGCTTTTAAATATTATGTCTTTGATTTGACACATCCTCTCTCATAATCTTACCCTCTTACTAGAATATGAGTTGTTAGAAAAGGTGCAGGGACAAATTAATGAAAATATCTTTCAAAATGAAGGCAAAATAAAGATATTTTCAGATAGGCAAAAAGCTGAGAAAATTGGTATTCAGAAAACCCAAACTGTCAGACATTCCCAAAGTTTTTTAGACTAAGAAAAATGATAACACATAGAGGAAGGAAGGATACAAGAATAAGTAATAAAAAGCAGGCTTAAAAAATCTGTGTGCTTCGTATGTTTAAATGTTTTTAAAAGAGTATTGTCTTTTTAAAGCAAAAGGAAAAATGGTTGTGAGGTTAATATTTAATAAAAGAATACAAAGATGAATGGGTAAATAGAATTATACTGCTAAGCAGGGGTCTGCAGTGGAGCAAACTATATTATAAGCATTTATGAATATGTCCAAATTAACCCCACTAGTATGTATAACTATAACACACTAATAAAGGATTTTTTTTCAAAAAGAATTATACTGCTAGAATTTTATATTGTTCAAATACTATTTCAAGGTACATTGTGATTAACTTAAAGTGGATAGTACTATGTATGTACTATTTTTTCCCTATACATCCTTAGCTCTAATAAAGGTTAATTTATAAATTAGGCACAATAAGAGACAAAATACAATAACTAACATTAAAATAGAACAATTGTAAAAATATACTGTAACAAAATTGCCAGCATCACTACTCTTGTGCTTTTAGGCCATTATTAGGTAAAATAAAGGTTACCTGAACACAAGACATACTGTAATACCATGACAAGTTGATCTGATAACTGAGATGACTACTAAGTGAAACAGATAAATAGTGAATACAGCATGGATATGCTGGATAAAGTGATGATATATGTCCAGGGTAGGATGGAGCTGGAAGGCTTGAGATTTTATAACACTGCTCAGAATAGCACAGAATTTAAAATATATGGATTATTTTTTTCTGGAATATTCCCTTTAACATTTTTGACCACAGTTAACCATGGATACTGGAACAATGGTTAGCAAAATCATGGATAGTGGAGTCCTACTAGACAGCTAAAAAGCCAATACAAGAAATATAAATGGAATTGAACTAGTTTAATGAAAAGAAGATAGGAAAAGAAAAACAAAGAACAAAAAATTGAGAAATAGAAGGCACAAAAATAAACAAATGCCAGGAGATGTATAATTAAACAATTATTTAAGCCACTGATTGGGTAGCAGTAGGGTCACTTTATAGTGTAATAATAGTAATATGTCTTTGAATTCTGATACCTTTACCAAACTCTTCTGAAGATCAGCTTACAAAACTGCCAGGAATTATAACAAGGTCACAGACGCATGCATGTTAAAGAAAGGTTTCTAGTGTAGTATGTGTGGACTACTGATGGTTCCAGATTAAACTGGTTCTTGCCAAGTGAGTCATCAGTGAGATCTCTTTAATTACAAATAGTCCATAAATGTATTGGCATGAATATATTTGTGTTTAAGTAAACAATGGGGATCTAGTTTCATTTTGGATTTTTCATACTGCTTAGGAACTTTTCATTGATAAACATAATTATTTTAGATAAATTTAAGTTGTGATGTGTCCAGTAATACTTGTATAGCTTGTTCATAAAACCTGTGCTTGGTCTAAACTTCTGTTCTTTTTCTTTAAACTCTATATGGGTAAATGTTTTGAGTGTCTTAATCTCTAAGAGACACATCTCTGTGAGACTGTGAGCTAAAGGGTTTGGATTTTTATGCTGATGTTTAATTACATGAGCTTAATTTGTCACAACATCCATAGAAAAACCAATATGAATTCTTTAGTACATATAAAGATAGAATAAGACAGCATAGGAATAGCATCATATAATTTCACTATGTGGCATTAGACCTTTTTTTTTTTTATTTTTCTCTTTCAGGGTGCTCTAGAACAGGGCTCAAATTCTCAGTTGATGGCTGTCCAATACACAGAAACCACTAGTATCAGGTAAGAAAGTATGAAGAAGCTTTTGGCCAGGGAATTTAAAATAGCTTGTGTTTTAGTAAAGTTGAAATTCATAATTCTTTTTTACCTTAATTTGTCTTAATCTGTGCCTTTCATATTAATTCATATAAAATATACTACTTCTAAAAAAATACTACTTCTGAGTAAAGTCAGATAATTTCTAAGGATAATCTCTCCTCAGTCCCTTAAATGCAGATTTAGTCAGAATGCTGTTCATTTGTAATTTTACTGAAAATCTTAAAAACTCATAGTTCCCCTCTCCTTGATTTGCCTCTATTTCATAAGCCTAAGGGAGGGGAATATTGTTTTTCACTGTTCTATGCAGATGTCTTGCTGGATGCTTTATTCATTTTTATCTTTAAATCCATATAATAATTTGAAGTATATTTTATATATGAAAAAACTGGGCAAGTCATTAATTTTTTTTTGTAATTTTTCATTGTCATAGAACCAAGTGCCAGAACCAGAATTCATACCCTAGCATTTGACATAAAATTCCCTTTTCACTACACAATAGTACTTAAGATTTTGAAACAATTCAAAGAAAGTACTATACCTAGGAGTGTCTTCACTAATCCATCCCATTTATTGTTTCTTGATTTTATTTCTTGTGCTAGGAGTCTTACTAAGGAAGTTGGGGACTAATGTGACATGATGAAGATTTGGGCCTATTTTTTCTTTTATTAGGCACAAGGTCTGTGGTCTAATTCCTAGGTCCTTGGACCTCTACAAACTACAGAATGCTAAAGAAAGAAATTAATGAAGTCCTTAGAAGATCGAAAGATCTCCCTTGTTCTTGGACAGACAGAATTAATATTGTCAAAATGATCATACTACCAAAAGCACTATACAGATTTAATGCAATCCCAATCAAAATCCCAATGACACTTCTCATAGAAATAGTAAAAGCAACTATACTACAGAACAATAATAACAAAAATGGCATTGTATTGGCACCAAAATAGATTTGTAGACCATTGGTACAGAATACAGGACACAGAATCAAACCCACATAAATACAGTTATCTCATACTGGACAAAGGCACCAAAAGCAAATACCGGAGGAAAGATAGTCTCTTCAACAAATTGTGCTGGGAAAACTGGAAATCCATATGCAACAAAATGAAATTAAGCGTCTTTCACCATGGCATAGTATTTTTTCATTAGTTAAAAATATTTTTAATGAGTTACAGTCCATTCTCATTCATGGATCATCTTACTTATGGATTCTATATTTGCTTAATTGCTAAAATTTATTTGTAGCTGGACACAATGGCACACACCTGTAATCCCAGCAACTCAGGAGGCTGACGCTAGAGATCAAGATTTCAAAGCTGGCCTTAACAATTTAGCAAGGCCCTGTGCTACTCAGTGAAGCCCTAAGCAACCAGCAAGACCTTGTCTCTAAATCAAATGTAAAAATGTGGCTTACTGGTTAAGCACCCCTGGGTTCAATCCTTGATACCAAAATATAAATAAATGAAAATAAAAGTTATTTGTAACCCCCAAATAATACAGCATTTTGAAACATGCATAGATATTCTAAGGTAAGGTTAAATCAGACAACCTTTTACCTTCTTGTTTCACTATTTAGTATATACAAGGTCCTTTTCGTAGTTCATTTAGTGTCATGTTTTTCATATTTTTATACCTTTTATTGGCAATTGTCCTATTTAAAGGGGCCCCAAGCATATTGCTGAGGTGCTGTCTAGTGTACCTAAGCCCATGACAGGTCCAAGGTATTGTAAAGTTTTATTCAGGCATGAGCTACCATGCTTTTGGCTGTAAGTTCAATGTTTATTAAAGAAAGTGTCCTTAAACAAAAACATGCATAAAATGAGGTTACATATTGAACGACCAAAATATAATCATCTTTCAGAGGCTTACATGAACCCAATCCTGTATTTATTTGTCTTAGGATTCACTAATTCATTGTTAGTGGTGACTCTTTAGAGCACATCTACCAGAAATAACAAGAATTGTCTGTATATCCAAAATACTGTAATCAAGCACTGTCTAATGAGCAAATGCAGTTGTTTCAAAGGAAGATCTTTTTAAAAAAAAAAAATTTTAAGTTGTTGATAGAACTTTATTTATTTATATGTGGTGCTGAGAATCAAACCCAGTGCCTCACACATGGTAGGCAAGTGCTCTACCACTGAGCCATCACCCCAGCCCCTCAAAGGAAGAACTTATAGCTCATTTATAGTTTCCATTTAGGTCAATCTTTTTCTCTCTTAAGTTAATAATATTTGATTGATAATAAAAGTTTTTCTCTTTGGAGAAGAATGAAGCATTATAGGGTCCCATTCATTCTTCTGGATGTTGGTTTATTGTGTTCAACACTAAAGACTAAAAATATTATTAAGAACTACTTAGTATCATTTGAGTATATCTTTTCACATATGATATAGTTTGAGGTATTATTAAAGTTTGTTCATTAAATTATCAAGGTGCCTATATGGTGCTTTTCATGTCAGTAGCTAGCACTTGTGGAATGACTCCTATAGAACAGGACTCATGCTTGGTCATTTACATAGATGACATCTCTGACTCCATTAAAAATCCTCCAAGGCTTCTGTGGTTATATTCATTTTATTCATGAGGAAACTGGGGTTACTCAGAGAGATCCATACCCTGAAGAATGTCCACGCAAGTAGACCAAGAATTCAAAACCAGGTGTATTTGTTTCTAAACCTAGATTCTTTTCATTTTTGATGTAGCCTTATAGGCAAGATCACCTTCGTATATTTGACAGAATGGTGAAAAATAACATTTCTTCAGACTTAATTTTCATTATAAAATTTTTTAAATCATACAAACTTATGGAGAAATCTTTGGTTTTGATAATTTAAAAAAAATTTCATGTTTTACAGTATATTTGACCATATGTTATATTTTAGAACCTTGATTCAGAAATGAGAATTTTAGAACTGGACCTTATAAATATCCTAATTTGGGGTTTTTCAAAATGTTACTTTAAAAGTTACTACCAGGGCTGGGGATGTGGCTCAAGCGGTAGCTCACTCGCCTGGCATGCGTGCTGCTGGGTTCAATCCTCAGCACCACATACAAACAAAGATTTTGTGTCCGCCGAAAACTAAAAAAATAAATATTAAAAAATTCTCTCTCTCTCTTTAAAAAAAAAAAGTCACTACCAAACATCTGCACTTGCATGTTTATTGCAGCCCTTTTCACAATAGTGAAAAAATGGAAACAAGCTAATTGTACGTAATGAATAAATGAAGAAAATATGGTCTGTATACATAATGGGATATTATTCATCTATGAAAAGGAAATCCTGTTATTTGTGACAACATGACTGGAACTGGGGAACATTATTCAGGCACAGAAAGAACAAATACTGCATTGATCTTGTTCATATATGGAATCTGAAAACTGATCCCATGGAAGTTGGGAATAGAATGGTGATTACCTGATGCTGGGGAGAACAGGAGGACAGGATAGATGGGGAAAGGTTGATCAATGGGTACTAAGTCACAGTTAGATAAGAGAAATAAGTTTTGGTATTCTGGTGTGTAGAAGAGTGACCATAGCTAATGATTATGTGCTGTATATTTCAAAAACGTTAGAATAGAGTATTTTTAAAAAATTATTTATTTATTCTAATTTGTTATACATGATGGCAGAATGCAGTTAATTTCATATTACACATATAGAGCACAATTTTTCAAGTCACGGATTATACACAAAGTATTTTCACACCATTCATGTCTTCATCCATTAACTTAGGGTAAAGATGTCTAACTCATTCCATCATCATTCCTATTCCATCACACCCCTCTTTTCCCCTCCCTACCCTTTGCCCTAACTATAAAATTACTCCATTCCTCCCATGCTTCCCGCCCCATGGTCATTATGAGTCAGCACCCTCATATCATATTCAGCCTTTGGTTTTGGGGGATTGGCTTATTTCACTTAGCATTATATTCTCCAACTCCATCCATTTACCTTGCCATGATTTTAGAATAGAGTATTTTGAATGCCTTTACCATAATGAAATGATAAATGTTTGAGGTGATAAGTATGCTTACTCTGGTTTGAACATTATAACAACGTACACATGTATCAAAACATCACATGGTGCCCCGGAAATATGTGTAATTTTTATGTATCAATTTAAAATAATTTTTAAGAAGTAAAAAAATAAAAATGATTTCTATAATGCTACTGATTTTTTTGTTGAAAAGACTCTTATAATTCAGACATAGACTTAAGAGTAGAAAGTATTTTGGGGAGGATTAGACATTTTTTACTTGTTAACACTCTACCTTTTTCTTACTTTAGTAGGAACTCAGGGAATGAGCTACAAGTGTACTATGCTTCACCCAGAAGTTATCAAGACTTCTTTGAAGCCATCCGCAGAAGGGGAGATACATTTTATGTTGTGTCCTTTCGAAGGGTAAGTTCATTTTGAAAAAATATGCAAATATTTGTAAGTACTTACTGTGTATAAGACATTGGGCTGAATATTGTTGGAGATAGAAAGATGTGAGAGATAGGAAGCAATCAATATAGAATAAATATGTGAGTGGAATACTCTTAGTGCTATATATATACTTGACTTTGAGCTGTTTAGCATCATGAAGGCACACATGGAATTAGACTATGACTGTATATTTAGAAAATATAAGCTATGTATTTATTTTTATTCTCAATTATCCCTATAACCATACTATGTTTATAACCAAAGGAAAAGTAAAAGCATAAACATTTCATATTTAGGCTTTTAAAGCCAATTTCCATTTGGTTATTGAGGAATTTAAGATGAATGTAGGTTTTAGATGAATTAAAGATGAATCATGGACTCATTAACATATTGTGGAATGTTTAGATCTGTGTTCTAGGGAATCTTTATTCCTCTTTCTTCTCTTCAGTATTTACTTTGTTGGTGAAGAATACATTAGATAATCATTCAGGTTATGCAAATGTAAATGTTTATACTAGCATGGCTGCATTTTACAGATGTAAGACTAAATGGAAACAAATGTATAGCTATTTACATTCCATTTACCTTTCCTACAAAATGACAATATATTCTTCATAGAGGTGCCATGTGAATATCTCTATAGAGTGCTGTATGTTAAACCAGAAATATATAAGTGACTTGGAATTCCTCAATGGTTTATAACCTAAGCCTTCCTTCCTTTTTTTTTTTTTTGTGTGTGTTTTAAAAAAAAAAAAAAAAAAGAATATGAGGGGATGT